TTCTCCCACCCCCTCACCCCTGTAATTACCATACCTATATAAGGAGCCTTGGTTACACATTGGGCTGCTACATGCAAGGCTGGCAGTTCGATGCCACCAGGAGCAGCTTGGTGGGAGAAGGGTGAAGTTTTCTACTCCCCAAGTCTCGGAAATTCATGGTAGCTGTACTCTGGCCTACAGGGGCGCTGAGTCGGCAAGGCCTCGATGCCACTGAGTTTGGCTCAGTAAAAAGCATGTGTTCTGTTCCTGGAGTGGGTCATACCTTCGTACTTTGCTTTGCACGCTTAAAAAATTCATGCCGAGCCACGTTTTTGTAATCCAAGTGAGTTTTTATAAAGGAGAGGAAGTTTCGGATTTTACAGTCTCAAAAGGGCACATTCTATTTCTGGAAAGCATGCCAAGCTGCGCCGGAGTGGTGCTTGGGTTCACCACTGGGCACCACCAACCACGTGGAAAAAAGCACCCACGCGCGTGGGACTGGGAAATCCCAGGGGGCCGAGAGGTCAAGAGCGCATAAAGCCTGAATCCAAGGGCACATGTGCCCCCACCCTCCGACCTGCCAAGACGGAAACAAGGTAAAAAAAGAGCGAGGACCCCCCACAGCGAGGATATTTCAAACCTCCGGGGCGGGGGCGCGGTTGAGGCGGGGGGCGGGGGCCGCGGTTGACCCCATAGGCTGCTTTAGGCCCGCCTGCGTGACGCCTTGAGCCTGGTTTGGGCGCCCAGATCTACCTCCCATTGGTGTCTAATGGGCGCCTTATGTCTTTCCAACCTCCTCCGTGGGGGCTTTTGCAGGCATGGGAGCGACCTCCCCCACTGTCCCTAAGCTAGCTACTTTACCAGAAGGGGCCGAGGGTCTCAGCCATGCTTTGACACCACTCGGCAGCGGCTTCGGAAAAAATCACAGCCTTGGAAACCCTAGGGGGCCGTTTCTTACATATAAAACAATACCCCCCCCCCAGGCATCCTTTATTCCACTTCTAAGTAATTTAAAGGAAGATAAAACGAAATGGGGGGTGGGGGTGGCGGAGCTCATGGTCTCTAACAAGAGTGTGGCCCTGTCCCACCTGGACACGTGTACCTCAAAATCTCTCCGAGTGCCTGGACCTGGCGCCTCGAGGAGCCGTGGGTAGAGTACGGTTCTCGGCGACTCTCGGGGTATTAGACACGGGGTGGAAGCAGGGACGACTCGGCTTACGATCACCCAGCGTCCCAAAAGGCCTTCCTCAGCCCGGAGCCACGTGGGAGTGAATCCCGATTCGCAAGCCCCAGCAGAAATTTACGCTTGCGATCTTTTATTTTTGGCGTATAAGCGTCCCAAGACCCCCCCACTCGACCCTTCACTCACCCACACGCGTCCGGAGCTCCCCACCGAGCAGCTGCTCGGACAAAGGCCGCAAGCGAAAAGGCAGCCGGGAGCACGCGGAGCCCCGCCCCGGGGAAGTAGCTGGGCGGGGCCTCGGCGGGCGGGGCCTCGGCGGGCGGGGCCTCGGCGGGCGGGGCCTCGGCGGGCGGGACAAGGCCGGCTTGAAAAAACGTGAGCGCTGGAGCGGAGGTGAGCAAACAGGCTTTTCAAGTCCTTGGCACTCAGCGATCCCACAGGGCAGACTAGAGTGCCCCTTTGGGTGCCTGAGACTTAACATTTATGTTAGCAGAAAGCCTCGTCTTTTTCCATGGAGCGACTGGTGGTTTTGGACCGCAGACCTTGTGGTAGCCGCCTAGTGTCTAAGCCACTTAACGTCCCCAGTGTTTCCAAGCATACTTTATAGTGGCCCTAGAGACGCAGATGTTACTCATTGACCTGCTAACTGCAAGCTCCTCAGTTCAAAACCACCACTGCTCCTCAAGAGAAAGACGGGGCTTTCTACTCCCATAAAGAATTGTAGTCTGGGCAGTCCATAAGGGCAGTTCCACCCTACCCTATAGGGTTGCTTGTAGCTGGATGGGAGTGAGGTGGTGGAGTGGAGTGGATCCATCCCAGAGGATTGGCTGGGGTTCGAACAACAGCATTTGTTTGGCTCTTTTGAATAAGCAAAAACAAAACTGGGTTTGGAATTGCTAGAAAGAAAACCTGTTGTGTCCTCAGATGGACCGAGCCTCTAGTCTCCCCCTCGGTAGGACCCCAGGGACTGAGGTCACTCTCCTTCACGTGGTGCCTTTGGGTTCCTGCAGGTCGAGTCCAAGCCTTTTCACTACACCCAGATTCTCTTTCTGGCTCTCTGCAGCAGCGCTATGACAGCTAATGGATCCACACATGCGCGCGCACACACACACGTCACCCTTTAGGCTGGTCTGGGAAGTCGCTCTGGGAGGCTTCTGAATGGCCGGTCTCCTACCAACTAAATGTCGCTGGACCCTGTCCCTGGCGTGCCGCAGTGGAATCCTTAGCTAAGATACAGAAGCTAAACACTGGCTTTCACTCTTTCTCAGTCACACTGCCATCCGCTGTGGTACAATAAGCCAAAGAACCAACATCCTTGATCTGCGCTGGTTGCCTGCCAGGTAACCTGCATTTCTACTGAGCCTCCTCCCCACCCACTGCCCTCCTCAGCTGAAGTCAGTATGATTCTGCCCTAGTGGGCAGATGGTAAAGCTGAGGTCCAGAGTTGCAAAGCCCAACAGCAGTAATTCCTAAGGCCATGCCCATAAATCCAGTAATGAAAAAAAAAAAAAAAGTGTTCTCTGGCCCTCTCCCATTCCACCCTATTCCCCCAGCCCCCCAACCCTCACAGACCTCCCCTGAGAAAGCCCAGAGACCGCCTGCAAGAGACCTTAGGCTCTGCATCCAAAGGAATCACTGTAGAAGGAAGTGGCAAACCCAAGTCCTCCCCAATTTTGATGGAGTTGGACACAGGCACTAGTTGGGAAAAAGATTTACATAAATACAGTAATTAAAAGAATCACATGGTGGGTGCTGACTGGTCGGCAGGAGCTCTGCTTTGCAGTTAAATAGGAATGTGGCTGAGGACGGCTGCTGTAATCAATGACCGTATCCGGCTGTCACAGCATGTTCATAAAGGAGGGTTATGAGAGCTATAAAACCAGGCAGATTGGATGGGTAATTGTCCTGCGGAGCTCTGCTATAGCAAAAATTGCACTAGCATCTCATATTTTTCTTTTTTTCCTACAAAATTCACAAAGTGGAGAAGACAGAGCTACCCTGAAGATTCGGGAAAGGAACGGAGAGGTGTGCATTAACATGTGCCTGTGCTTTCCGAGAAACAAGGCAAAGTACTTGATGATAGGGAGATGGTAGGCCCTTTGGGGAGAGGAACCAATGACCTAGTAACAATTAGGTTCACCGATGAGTCCAGGCACAACAGGCAGAAGGCAGGAGCAGGATTTGTGTGGAGGGTATGCCAGCCACTAGGAGGAAGGCTGGGAAATGGGCCAGATGCTTAGGTCATCCTGAAAATCTAGCCATCGTTTTTAGGTATAGGCCATTCACCATCCTTTGGAGAAACACTAGATTGTGATTTATTTTCCTAGTTAAAAACAGTTCTTCATAACCATCCTTTTTGAACCTCTCTCCTTTTAAGTTCTGTATTAATTTTGATGATTTAATTTATACAGTCTTTCATCTCTACAAACAACCATCTTTCTACCTTGTTTAGTTTATATTCTTGCAAAGATGAAATTGTCAGGAATAATAATGAAAAAGAAAGGATATCTATCTATAGCTGGATATATATATATCTCCAGAAGAAAAGGCAAAGTATTAGGGCAGGTCCATTAGCTCTGAGTTTCACCTTATAACCACATGTCTGCATACCCCCTCCCTCCCATGATACTAGGCCCCTGCCTGCCATGCCCTTTCTCCTCTACTTGACATCCCCTTCTTACCTCTCTCCTTGCCTTTTGTCCCCTGGGCCTACTCTTTTCCTCTCCTCCTTGAAACCACAAGTAGAGAAGTATTTAATCATCTGCTACAAAGTCGGTCAGTCAACATTTATTTATAATTTACCATATGTGTTAGCCCGGGTTGTCTAGAAAAACACAGCCAGTGACACTCATTTATGTCTAAGAAAGAGCTTTATATCAAGACATAATTATACCTCAAGAAGGCATCCCAGCCCAGTCCAACTCAAGTCCAAAGTCTGATGCTAGTCCATAAGGCCCTCTTCAGACTCATGTAGCTGCATGCCAGTGATGAGAATGGTGACTCGGAAACAGAAAGGTCACAGGTCAGTAAGTGCAGAGTCAGGGGGATCCAATGGCAGGGCACTGGCAGCTCTCAGGGTTGGGTGGCCCCATGTGGTAGGGAGAGGTCCAGCAGGCAGGAAGGCAAAGGGGCAGAATCCGTTCTCATTGTTTCTCATTCTTGTATCAAAAGACTTAGGACATCAAGGAGGTGTGACTAGACCGACAGGCTTGACTCCACACCTATCTAGGAGTGTCTAGTTGACATAAAATCTTCCAACTACCACACCATGGGTAGGCAGAACAGACAGATGTAAAGGGGTAGACTGTGTACTTTCATTTTTTCTCTTTAATTAAATTCCCTCATAATGATTTCATTTAATACTTCTGGCATAGCTACTGTGTAGGTGGGACCAAAAAGAGCCAGAATCTCTTTATTCCTTTTGGTTAAATTATTAATGTAATATTTTCTGAATAAACAAATAAAGCTCTTCAGACAATAGGCAAGGCAGCCTGGAAAGCTGGAGGCTCTTTCTATAGCCTGTAGCAGAATAGCTGGGTGACATCAGCTGGAGCAAAACCAGCTGCCAGTCCTTGAACCTGAGCAAGTTCTAGGATTTGTCTTCCTCCTCACTTGCCTCCGATCTCCTCTTACTGAGTTTCCAGACTCAATTGGTTAGTCTTTTTCCACATCCTTTTTTCTCACCCCCTCCACCCCCACCCCCACAATGTCCAAATTGGCTCTCCAATACTGAAACCAGTTGACGGAAATTCATTAAGCTGAACACATGGGAAATTACAGAGGAGATTTCACTGTCACTGAGGCTCAAATATAGAAAGTAATTTTAAAAGGACAGTGGCAAGAGGCTATTTTTATCTTGCTTGTTTGTGCTGAGTTTTCTTATCTTGCTGTCTCTCGTGCTCTTCCTGCCTACCTGTCTCTTCCCTTGCCGCTTCTTTTAGCTAAATGTTAGCCTCCTTAATCTTTGCTTTTTAGGGACTTTTTTTCCTGTTCATTCACTTGTTCATTCAACAAATATTTAGTATCAGCTGTGCTAAGGTCCAGGAGGGATATAGTAATAACTAACACAGACATAATCGTCCCATCATGGAGTCTGCAGTCAAATGACGGAGGCAGGTATTAAGTAGAGTGAATTCAGATTTTGTCACAAGGGCCTGGAAAGAGTAAATTGCATTTTTCTAGTACAAAATGTGAAGAGGCCTGGTGATATAGTGGGCTGTGTAGTTGGCTGCTAACTATAAGGTCAGCAGTTCAAACCACCAACTGCTCTGAAGGAGAAAGACGAAGCTTTCTGCTCCCGCATAGCTGCTCCCATAAAGACTGACAGCCTCAGAAACCCACAGAGGCAGTTCTACTCCATTCTGTAGGCTGTTGGAATCAACTTTATGGTAGTGGGTTTTTGAGTTTCATGCTAAATTTAACCCTTGAGTAAAAATAATCAGAATTTCAGTTTGTTTTGAGGACTCAGGAATAAACTAGATGTCTCCAAAAAATGTGTTTTTTTAAGGAAACAGAAAACCCAGGTCTATCTGATATATACAAATCTATCAAATAGAGAGAACATGGTTTTGGAATCAGCTGTGGGTCTGATTTGGTTCCATCCCTTATACATTAGCTATGTCACTTAAGTAAGTGACTTCTCTCTAAATTTCAGGTTCCTTACCTATAAAAATGGGAATAGTAATTTTTTACACTTTATAGTTGTAAGGGTTGATTGGGTTATCATATATATATGGGAGCAGGCAGGGAGGTACTCATTTCCTTTCTGTTATCCCACTCTTGAATTCCACAATTAAAAACAAATAAGCAACAAGCAATCCAACTAATCTCCCAATTAATTAGACTACCGGGTCCTCAAATGGTATATCCAGAGAGACAGGATATTACTATAATGGTTAGTAGAAGTTGTAGTATGCCTGCAGTTGATGGCAGTCAGATAATTCCCTTTGACTGTGGTAAGACCAAAAAACAAACAAACAAGACAAAGCCCAACCCAACCCATTACGAGTCCAGTCGATTCTGACTCATAGAGTATAAGTAGTCCACAGAGCTTTCCTGGCTGTAATCTTTACCGAAACAATTACCAAATGTTTCTTCTGTGGTTACTACAGGTGGGCTTTAACCATCAACAATACTATCGGGTAAGCACTGGATAGCGAACCTCAAGGTAGGCAGTTCTGTGGGAGAAGATGAGCCTGTCTGCTCTCAAAGATTTACAGGCTCAGAAACCATATATAGGATCACTAT